CAAAAATACCAAAAGAAAAAAAAAAAAAAGAAATAATGATGGCAATGAACTGGCTCTGATTTGTTGGTCTTCATCAATGGGTACTTAGCCACTGATCTCTCTCAAATCCTAGAATTCAGCAGACAGCAGTGAGCCAGTGTTAGCACAGCTAATGGGAACCAGACACAGAGGAAAGATCTATTTCCTCTAGTAATTTTAATCAGTAGTGTCATATTCAAAGACAGACAAATAAGACTATGTCTTTGACTAGTCATTTGCTTAAGAATGAGTCCCAGCTATGCAGACTTTCTCTTCATGGAGACAAAACTCCAGAAACCCACTTACAAATTTCTAGCTTGAAGGCTCTTCCTCCTATTATAGCTTTTAAGAATAAAATACAGAATTATACCTTATTAAGAAGTTCTTTCAGTTCTTCCTGAGTTTTCACTATTTTCTTCCAATGTTCAATCTGCTCATCTTTGACGTGTTTTTCTTGTAACCTACAAGAGAGAACATGTGTGCCCCAGGTACCCAGACAGCTCTGCCACACCAGATAAGTGCCCATCAAAAGATTCAAAGACTTCGAGGCCCAATGGGACTTTTTTGCAGTATCAAAGATCGAATTCAGGACCTTGCACTTGTAAGGCAGGCATGGTGCCACTGAGCTAAATACCCAGCCCCCAATGGGACTTTTAATACCTGGAAACAAGAAAGTTGGCTGGTGGCAAATTACTGCCTAGGCTGTTAAATACAGTAACAAAGTCATACAATACAGCAAGTTATAGAACTGAAAAGTTCCCTAAGGATGTAACTGTTTTAAAGGCTTTTACTTTGGAGTTTAATAATTTCACATGAAAGTAAAAACTAGCTCAAACAAGACTACTTAGCAACTTAAAATACAAACAGCAAATCTGTAGATTTAAGCCAATATACAATAGGTGGTATCAAAGTACTTACTGAATGACAACTTCCAATGCCTGGCCAAGGGACACAGGCTTATTATTGAGGACATTGAAGTCTAGCTGATGACTAAGGTAAGATGTAGCTTCTAGCAACCGGTTAAATTCTTGCTCTACCATTTCATCTTTCTCTTTAGGAACCTGAAAATCCGAAGTATAGCAGAGTTGGTCCTTATAAGACTATAACACAGCCATCCATGAAGACACAAATGCTCTAGAATTTAAACAGATCAAAATATGTATCTCAAAGGGGAAGCCTTTGAGGAAATGATTTTTTCTTTTCCATGAAGTGGTTAAGCCCATTTAAATGAAATATGAAATGTTTTTGTCCTGATCATTCCCTCTTCTTCCACTTTTGCCCTCAGAGCTGGGACTCTGCCTGTACTGACAGCCATGGGCCGTACATGGTGCTGAAGATACATGGAGCACAAGGTGCACAGAGCTGACATGCACTGAGTTGAGCTGGGCTGACATGCAAAGGGCACACTAGCAAAGTCCCAGAGAACAAAAATGTATTAACACACCTGAGAACTTCTGTGATACAGGCAGGATGAGAAAATAAGCCCAAATTATGTGCTTCCCCTCAAAGATGACAAGAATTTCAGGTGGTACAGAAGAAAGTAGTGAAATTCATGCCTATCAAGAGGAACACACTAGCATCTTTATTATTTTTCAGATTAATAATTTCAGAGTCAAATGTCCTAAGCTTTTAGACTGTGAGGCACCAGGAGGTTTGGCTCCTCACTGCGGTAGACTAAGGAAAGGTTACAAAGCAGGTCATCAACCTGGACCACGCTCTAGGCCACACCATGTCCTCCTTATGGATACCATGCATCCCTTTGCTATAGTTTCACTGTGTCCCAAAGTAATACTGCTGAATTTGCGGCAGTAATCAAGAGAAGGAAAAAGCAGCTGGGCACTAACTGGGATATGAGATTCAAAATATGGATTTCCCTTCATTCAACCTGAAATTGTAAATAGGAAAACAAAACACCAAAGTTGTTAACATTAAGATGAGGAGGAGTGATCTTCAAAAACCAGAGGTAGCTGTTGACAGAATCATCAAAGTAAGATTCCACTCGTTTCAAATTCCTTAGTTCCTGCCCTGCCATTTAACGGGTGAGTGTGAAGCAAGGCCTCTGCTCTTCACTGACCGTATAAGTTACTTCATTAGATAAGCTGTCAGGTTGCAGGAAAACCCTGCTGAGAAGTGCAGAACTAAAAAATTAAAATTAAAAAAAAAAGCAAAGTAAAAGGATGGCAGCTCTCCTGTGGATCTGTGATTTCATCACAATCACACTTGAAGCACCAAGCATTAAAAGACTACATCAGAAGAGATCAGGACATCTGTATGAATTAGTAAATCATCCTTCACCTACAGAAAATCTAAATTTCTAAGGATCCTGTGGTTTGTGTTGAGATATGAGGCTGAGAATCAGCCTTTGGATGCTCAGTGTCATTTATATGTTAGGGGGGTCCTATGAAAACAACCGACCCACCCTTTCAACTCCATGGAGTAAAAGAGAGCTTGGGGTGATGTCCCCATTTGTTTCGTTTATAGGGCTATGACAGCAGGTGGCAGAGACCTTCTTGTCAGGAAGTTTATCTACTTTCTTGATTATATTCCCTCACTGATTTGATGGTCATATATAGAGAACTCAAATAATAAAATTTTGCTCAGAAACTTATTTCTAGTGCAACTCCTGCAATGATGCTAAAAAAGATAATTAGAGAAGACTAGCTCTCCTTTCAAACAGGAGACAGCTACATTTCTACAAAGTTATGTCAACCTAGCTGACCAATGATACAGTGTACAAACTGTCTTTTCTGCAGTGTAAGAAGCTGCTATCTCTACATGTGGCTTCAAAAATGCCTAGTAAGAAGCTGTTACAACAGCAAGAGGGACTAGATCACACATGCCTCTACAGCAGGGCAGAATGTGCCAATACGTATATAAGAATGCAAATGGGACCGATTAAAGCTCTTCCAGTGTCAGCTGGATGGCTCGCTTTAGATAAGCTTTAATCTTTGCAGCTAGGGTGACAGTAACATAGGGGTGTTCATACTGAGAAAGTATGCAGCACTCAGGCTCAGTAACTGGGGTCCAAGGTGTGTGGTAGAGAAATATTTAAAGGGACACTGTCAAGGTTAGAGGGACCAAATTGACCCTTTGTTTCTTCCCTCTATTTTCTAAGCAGCCCACTTGATTTATTACACTTTCCCCTTCAATCCACCCACATTCCCCACAAAAAAACTGATGTTTTACATGCGCTTTCAATGACAAAAACTCAAATGGCACCAGCCCAACATATAGGCGCAACTGTACAACAACAAACCAGTGTGAATGTGTGATGAAGAGGATCTTTGAAAAGAAAAGATTTAAGTGTCAAGCTTTTAATGGGTTATTGTAAACAGTGAGGAAAATGATTTGAAAAATTATGAAAAAAATACCTTGACAGTGTCCTTTTAACCAGTGCAGCAGAGAGAGAAATAAACTGTAAATAACAGCCCAACAGCCACATCAAGTTTAGTTTTGTACGACAGCAGTAAAATCAAGGCTTTAAAAACACACAGCATGACAGAAGCATTCTGTTAGCTCAGAAGCTGCAACCACCAGAGAAATAAGGAACAGATTATAGAGACCAAACTAGTAAGTCAAGAGGCACAGAAATGGCAAAAGGCAGTTTTAAAAAGGCAGGGAGAGGTGAGGTGTCCGGAAGCAGTGAGAACAAATCAAAATTCAATGAAAGGAAAAACACAGAACAGTAACAACAAAATCAAACAAAAATCAAACCAAAAGATTACTGCCACACGTGACCAACACCAGATGATAGGATACTTCTCCAGTGCACCCCCTTCAATCTGAGGCTCAGCTTTAGGAGATGAGGTGAAATAGCAACCAGGCCTACCCATTTTCTGCCAAGTTAAGCAATTACAGGGATGTTCCAAGGGCAGCCAGGGATAGGGCTGAAGCCTGGCTGTTCTTCCACTAACTTTAAAATTTCAATTTGAAATTAATGGAATATTTAGAAAATAACAAAATAGTTGTCCATTCAGAAACTAATACTGACCAGGAAAAAAAGCAAAAATGTGTTTTAATACATTTAAAATTTTAATTCACTTTAAAAAATGAGCTAGTTTTAAAAAATGTTCTATTGGACATATTCAGGCAATAAAAAGAATTAGCAAATGACTCCCCTCTTAAGCACCCTTAACTCTCTGTGCCATTTCTTTTCTTTGAGTGAGAAACCCTTGGATTCTGTTAGTTCTATAATTATGGAAAAAGAGTAACATAAAGGAGTTGAAATATTGGCAATCTCAACATAAGTCACAATACTTTTACCTGACCATTTTATTCTAGGTTCTTAATATGATCCTGGGAAAAGAATGCAATAAAAGATCACGAAGAGTTAAGCACCATTTTAGAAGGCAGGTGGATTTCTACATTCCAACACAGTAAGAACTTGTAATAACAAACTAAGAAGCATTTTTGGTGAAAAGAACAATAATACAGAATCTTCTCTCAAAGAAACAAACGATTATTACTATGACTTTCAAATTTTTTTTTTTTTTTGTACCAGGGATTGAAAGATATTTATTTTTTATGAAAGCCCCAAATAAAAATGCTTGCATTCTGAGAATCTGATGAGCTGCATTATTCTAAATGGATTCAATCCTAACTGTTTTGGTCCTGAAGATTATAGGAAGAATACCTACACGTCAGCAGAAGGGCAGCCTAGCCTGTGTGTCCAGCCCGTGGGGAATAAATTTAAGGAAAGCCAAATAACTTTTTGGACAAGGTTCCTAACTTTTGCAGGAAATAATCTCAAAAGAGGTGTACCCCTGATTACCTTCCATTACCAAAACCCTTCAAGTCTTTAAACACATTTACATTTATCTTACTTCAAGTAAGCGCTCTAACACCAGACTAGCATGGACTTAAGGGCTGCAATGTTCCAGTAAGAAGCTTCTGAGATTTTAGCCTGAGAAATTCTTAGAAAAATTATGTTTAAAAAAAGTGTTAATAGCCAAATCTGGTTAATGGAGGACACACTCAATTCTACCTCCCCATCCTCACACCACTGACCACTTCCAGAATTACAGGGACACAGAAGATTAAAATTAGCTCCCCTGGAAAAATCTAGAAGTAATTTACATTCAAGAGTATCTAATTCAAATTTTCCCAAACAGGCAAGGAAACAAAATACAGCTATTCTCCCTAATGTTACAACAAGGACACTGGGCCTTTGATCCAAGTAAAATTCAGTGTGCTTCTATCAATGGAGACTGCTGCCCTCTACCCTGACACCTTGTATAGGAGTCTTCAGGGATTAGAAGTGACTGTCTTATTTACAGCAGTAACTGGGTGTGTGAAGAGGTATAGACACACAACAGATCTAAGTAGTTCACTCTAGCAGTTTCTGGCACACAGAGAGGTGCTCCGTAAATTCCTGTTAAATGAATAAATATAGTCTGGAAAAGTTAAGCTAGTACTATATCTATATTTGACAGCTGAAAAACTATTTTAAAATTTTGTTTTTGAGACAGGGTCTCACTGTGTAGTTCAGGCTAGCCTTGAACTCTCTGTGTAGCTAGGCTAGCCTGGAACTCAGTGATCTTCTAGCCTCTGCCTCCTGAGTGCTGGGATTACAGGCATGAGCTCTCACGCTCAGCTTATTTTGGAACTTTGAGACTATTAAAGGTAGATTTTTATATTTGTAAAACACTGGGATTTAAAAGGAGGAAGAGAAAGACTGCTGTAAAGATACAGAGGACGTTTCTTCAAAGGCATATGAAAACCAAAAAAGCTAACAGACTTGTGTTATAAAAAAAACAAAAAACAAAAACAAAAACAAAAAACCCCCGAAGCAACAGCCTACATTTGTATATGAATACAAATGAAAACTTGCTAGGTATTATAGGTGCTGAGTAGATGTACAATTAAAAGGGCTTTGTAAGAGGCCTAGCATCCATCATCTTTTAGGTATTATGTTTCTTCCTTTTTCTTTTTTCTGGTACTGGGAATTGGAACTCAGGACCTTGTGCTTAGGGGACAGCGGCGCGGTGCCACTGAGCTAAATCTCCAGTTGCTCTTCCTTTTTCTTTGTAACAGCTAAGCCAATCCCAAGAAGAAAATAAAAATCTCAGTTTTTCAAAGTAACTGAGTCTTCAGATCTCACTTGGGAAGAGATACTCCAAAACCAACCAGAAACCTTGTAAGGCAGAATGCTACAGCACCACAGGAAAATGATTAAGATACCCTTTCCAGGGCCGGGATCTAACTGGCACCATGCCTGCCTGGCAAGCGCAAGGTCCTGAGTTTGATCCCCGGTACCATACACACACACACACACACACACACACACACAAAAAGATAGCTTTTCCATTACTTTAAAAAAATTTTTGAAAAGAGGCATGGGGTTGCATACCTATAATCCCAGCACTGAGGAAGCCCAGCCTGGCAACATAGCAAGACTTCATCTCAAAAGGGGAAGGGGAGGGGCACTAAGTATGTAACTCACAGCAAAGGCTCTGGATTCAATCCCCAGTACTGGGAGTGGAGGTGGGGGTGGCAATGGCTAAAGCCCCAAGTAATTAGCTAGTATACAGAAGATGAAGGAACATTTATTCTACTTCTATGCATCTGCATATTTCAGCTCCATCACAGTGACTACCAAGATGTTTCTGATATGAATTACCCGTTTCCTAACCTTGTCTAGTTAAAGATGATTACAGGATAGGCTGAAGTATATATAACTTCACCCTGTGGGAAGCTGTTGTGTTAGCTCTGCTTTTACAGACTTGGTACAGTAAGATATGGGAGATTCCTTCTATTGACACAGACATCCTAAATATCCCTATGGTATTTTATTCCCTTTATAGGACAGCCCTTGTTCTAGTAATCTAGAACTATAAAATAAACTTCCCCTGTCAAAAATAAACAGAACCTCAACATTCTAGCTGTCCACATAAAACCAGAGAAAAGACTCAGGGTAACTTCTTTCAGGAATTCTTGTGACTGTGGTGATTAAAACAGTATGAATCTAAAAACCAAATGGATATATGTCTTTACGTCAGGATTACCTCTGATTTTTATAACTCTGATTAAGTGCTGGCCTTACAAAGGATGACAGATTTAATTCCTACATACTAAGCACAAAACCATGAAGTTACCCTCTTTTTGATTCTTTATGTAAAAGAATGGAGAAACACAACCCCATCTTGTCTAATAGTTTACTAAAGAAAAATCAATGGCTGAGTAAATTTCTATGTGATGTAGACTCTGCTGGATCCTGAAGGAACTACTAAGAGAAGGTCCTCTGAGAAGGCTACAGCAGACACAATCACATAGGCAGAGTTGTACACATTCATCCCACCCCACCTTCCATCAAATACCAGGCAAGTATAGCAAAACTACTAGAGGACTTTGAGCAGCACAGAATCTCCTGGCCTTTCTAGTATGAGCTTATCCCCCTTTAGAGAACTCTCTACATTGTCCCCTGTTTCCAAAGTCATTCCCTCCCACAGCCACAGGCTGCAGTTCTTACCTGCTCCTCACAAATATTCTCCCCTGACCCCTGCCCCCTCCACACACTTTCCCACTCCCTTGGTTCTTCTGTAGCAATTTGTTCTTTTTATCTAATTCTTGGTAAATCTGTCTGAGCTACTGAGCTATTTATGATCTATCTACTGATCCATTTGTACCTTTCTTTAAAATACCTTAGACAACAGACAAAAACAAAAAAATCCAACTGAAGAGGCTAAGTTAAACAAGACTGAAAAATGGAGGTCTATTATAGTATTCTCTACTTTTGTGCTTATTTTTAAACTCCCACAATAAAAATTTGAGAAAAAGAAATATTTGTGGGTTGGGTAATACATGCCTGTAATCCCAGTGCCCTGGAAAGCTAAGGCAGGAGGCTGAAAGCTTAAGCCCAATATGGGTAACTCAGTAGAACTCTATTTCAAAATAATAAATCTTAGTGTGAAGGCCTTGGATTAAAAAAACAACAACAAAAACAACTGTATATGAGTATTACTAGACTATTTACTGAATGGCTGAATTAATCTTTAATTCATTCTTTCTCACTGTGTTCTTTATTCTGCCAGAAGCCTCCTTAAAGCCTTAGGAGTAAATGTGGACCAGGATGGTGGGAATGGGAACGAAGGCACATCCTCAGTGTCCTTTCCTGATACAACCCAATTAAGTCTAATGTAGACTAGAATATGTGAGGATATCCCTTAAGGCCCTTCATATAAAATTGAAGAGTTGAGATCTATCGCTTTTAGAAAAGGTAGTTAAGCCACCATATATAGAGCAAATCTTCCCTTTCTCAAAACATAAAGATAATAATGTGCTTATATCCTGAGAGGTATGGACTCTTATCCTAATGGGAATGTTTCTGCTGAATACAAACTTTTTTGTTTTGTTTTGTTTTGGTGCCAGGCATCGAACTGAGGTCCCTGTGCTTGAGAGGCAGGTGGCGAACCACTGAGCTAAATCCCTGGCCCCTGAATACAAACTTTTGAATTTCACTCACCCCAAAAACTATAGCAAATATATTTTCACAATCTAAACCCATCTCATGGGCTGGGGATTTAGCTCAGTGGTTCCAGCGCCTGCCTTGCAAGTGGCGAGGGCCCAAGTTCCATCCCCAGTACCAATAAAATAAAATAAAATAAACCCATCTCACAATCATTAAACTACTCTCATTCCTACAGACCGATTTTCACTTTCACACTACTGTGGCACTAAGAATTAGAAGTTTTTATACCTCTAGTCTACAAACACTTTAACCTAGCTTTGCATTTGGATAAGCACCCCCCCACCCCAATTTGGCTATTAGCCCATCAAAAGCTTGAGCCTATAAACACAAACTGAAGTCATAAAGAGCACATGGAGTTAAAGCACACGATGGGAGGCACAATACAAAGAAATGAAGAATCAGGTTTTGATTCCATAGGTGTCCTGGAAAAGTGGCTACAGTCAAACACAAAGATTATCTAACTAGCTAGCCTTCATCAAATGTCTACTATACAGATAAATGCATAGACAGACATAAATATCCACATACACAATAATCCCTTCCCGTATAGCTCAGAGTTAAGAAACCAGAAAAATATTACATTTCTCAGTTTATATTGTGTGTATGTTTAGTTACACATTCTGTCCAGATTATTTCCAACTGAACCAAATAAATTTTTAAAAGTTGATTGTCCTCAACTTACAGCTTGTCCATTGGCTTCATACAGTGGGCATTTTTGCTTGATCTTGGCCAGTTCCATATTTACTTGTTTGCTGACCACAGCCATGGGATTCCCTCCTAGAAAAAGACTCAATTGAGTATACCCATGAAAAGGAAAACTTTAAAGTAAAAATATTTTTACTCAAAATTTAAAAAGCTCAAAAATTAAGAGTATGTAAATTATATCTTTAAAATGCTCAAAGTAAAAATATGTAAGATAAGCATAAAGAAAAAACAAAAAATTAGCCATAATTCCGTGAGGTAACATTTTATTAGAGACCCTTCTAGATTTTAGATGCATTAAAATTACATATCGTATCCAAAAAAGAATAATAACACATGTGCTGTTTCATGATATTTCTTTAATTTAGTAATATAATGTGGACACTTATATGCTGCTAGGAGCTACATAATTTTTAGGGGCTATACAGTTCTTACTGTCTAACAATTTAATCTTCTAAATTGTGGTTTTGAATATTCTGCCATTAAATAATGCCATAAAAAATGCTCCCAAATAAAAAGGTCCACTCGCCTGTTTACATAGAATGATATCTTAGAAATGGGAAAAAGATAATCCCAGGTCAAAAGACTTGTAGAAACAACATATACCTTGCACATACTGATGTACCCCGATGTACCCCTTCAGGAAGACTACTTGGCGATTCACTTCTCACTAATGGAAGAAAAGTACTTGCCATGGTTTGAATATGAGTTTTCTCCTTAAAACTTATGCTGAATTACGCTATTATGAAAGGAGCAGAAATTTAATCCCATCATGGTGTAAAGAAGTGGGGCTTTTGGGAAGTTATTAGATAAGATAATTAGGGTGGAGCCCCAAGATTTCATCTGGGTGGTTTTGTAAGAGCGAGAAAGACCAGAAGACAGAGACATATATGTGTACTTCCTGTCTCTTGCCACATGATAATGTGTGCCATCTCAGGACTCTTTCAGCAAGGACTCCCTAGACCTTTGACCACAAGTATGGACCAATATAAACATTTTCTTTACAACTCACCCATTCTGCACTGTTACTGGGAAAAACAACAACAACAAAATCAAACAAACAAAATCCCCAAACCATAGTACCCCAAACCAATGTATTTTAAAACTGCTTCTATGGCTTGAAAATGTAAGCTTATAAACAATCTTGTGAGTTTCAGACTATTAGCATGAAATTAAGAATTACTTACCAAGACCTGTTACTACCATGGCTCCAAGATCTGCTACATAGTTTCCTTTGCGAAATGTGGCAACTCGTCCACCCACTCGATCCTATTAGACATTAAATGGCCAAAATCAATTCTGTTTTAACCACAATAATTTAGCATACCAGGTGCTTAGTCTTTCACGATTTAAAAAGAAAGGCGTAGAGTTTACAAAGAATGCAAGCAACAGTACTGCACAGCATGGTGGTGCACAGTGGTACACGTTTCTCAGAAGGCTAAGACAGGAGGGTCACACATTCCAGGACCTTAGGAAACAGCCGTCTCAAAACTTAAAAATAAAAATAAAAAGGGCTAGGCACATAGTTAGTGGTAAGAGTGCTTGTTTTGCATGCATGAGGCCCTGGGTGTATGTACACATGCACACTCTATTACTGTGGGCACAAACAACAAATGAAATTTAACTAGAAACTGAGGGAGAAAGGTAGGTGGTAATATGTAAGAGGTACAGAATTAAATGATGTGATGTGAAATAGTTCTAACAGGCAAAAGACACTGTAGTAAAAGGTACTATCTTTCTATCCAGTTTTCTCTAATGCCTCTTCTTCAAGTACAGGATACATAAGAGCCATCCATGTAGAAAATACATGTTCACAAACTCCAGCACCAAATACTAATGCTAACTTCTGCCACCCCAGCATGACTCTTCCCCTAATGCCTGCAGTCAGCTGTGATCCTCCCCCACCCTCAGGTGGGTCTCATGATGTTGCTCAGGCTGATCTTGAACTCTGAGCTCAAGCAATCCTCTTGCCTAGGCCTCCTGAGTAGCTGGTACCATTGGTGTGTACCACTCACCTGACACGTCTGTTAATAATCTGACAAGACGATTTCTCTGACTGCCCTGTGGTGGAGTTCACTGAGCATGTAACACTGAAAACACACTTTGTCCCTAAATAGTCCCTAAAGACTTTCAAATATGGGAAAAGCTTACTTAGTTTTTAGTTATAATTCAATTATATAACCTTAGTATGTAGTAAGCAGAGGGTACATAAATATTTTTGAATTAATGAAACATTATTTTTAGTAACAGATTATATCAGGAAAATATTCGATTTCCCTAGACTCTATTTTAAGATATCTTAAAAATTTGCAGGTTATGAAAAGGAATTTCGATTGCACTGTACGTGATTATTTAAAAACTTTTATAAAATTTTAGATTCCTTAGTTTACCTAATAGGTGGTGTATTATGGTTTGTTTTTTTTTGGTATCAGAGATCGAACTTGGGTCCTTATGCTTGTAAGGCAGGCAGCAGAACCACTGAGCTAAATCCCTGGCCCTGTGGTTTGGTTTTAATAGTGGGAGTTCAGGAAGACTAATCCACTGAAGGACAATTAAATTCCAAAAGTTAATCATGAAAATAACTTTCCTAGTAGCATCCTAATAAGGTGCTCCTTGATCTACCGTATGGAGTCAACCCCTTCCTCCTTTGGTTTCTACTTTTCTCTCTAGGACTAATAATTAAGGAAACCAAGATCTTGGCTTCATTTGGGCCTAAAGATGATTTCTGCTTGATGTGAAGTAATTCTTCTTCTTTGACTATCAAACAGGGAATACAATTCACCACTTCAAAAAACTGCCTCCAATAGAGAGTAAATCCATGAGGGCCCCAAATTTGAGAGCTCACCTCAAGAAATAATGTCCTGAAAATATTCAGGATGTCTGGATTCCTTACAAACTCAAAATACTCAATGAGCACTTTTCAAAGCTTTACTGTCAAAAATGGTTCATCCAGGGGCTGGGGTAGCAGCTCAGTGGTAGAGTACTTGCCAGCACATGAGACCTTGGGTTTGATCCCAGCACCACAAAAACAAAAAACACTTCATCCAATATAAATTAGCAATCTAAAAAAGACTGTGCGTAGTATACAAATCAATTTGGCTGAGTTTAAGATGTACAATTCCTTACTCTGAAACAGGTAATTTCTTTTACCATTTTCCAATGGGTCAGCCTAATAAACCCAAAATAAAATTCTTACCCTGGCTTCCAGAAGTGTGACATCCATTCCAAAACTTTGTAGTTGTCGGGCCGCTGCCAAGCCTGAGACTCCAGAGCCTATAATAATTACCTTTCCTGTCTTTTTAGCTAAAAGCAAAAAAATGAAAAAAAAAAAAAAATCAAGAGTATCTTGTTGTTAGAATTTGTTTATTTATTTCCCCTATAAAAATCTCTTGGTTCTTAACATATCATTATCCATTAAAAGTAACAAATTCAGCTATTTTTAAAATATGGAAAAAACCCAAAAACTCATTAACACTTTTTTTCCTAATTTTTAAAATGGTACTGGGGCTGGAACCCAGGGCTATATACATGCAGACAATCTATCACCAACCAACTGTTGAACTATTTATAAATCAAATTCATTTCCTTGAAATTTACTTTCTCCTTATTTTCAATAATGTTTTAGTATATGTAATCCTTAATACATCATGAATGATTTGCCCGTTTTAATCAAGAACATATTCAAGGACATAATTCTGGGTATATTTCCTTTAAGATATACTTCTCTGCAGTCTTAAATCAGTATTCCTTTTTTTTGAAGAATTAAGACATTAGAAATAAATGTATTAATTCTCAAAATATCCCTGACTTCTTGATCTCTGGCAGATGTTACCAAAACATTATGTTAAAAAAAAAAAAATCAATTAGAGAAAAACTTTCAACCTCCTGCTTGCAAAACTGCTTACATTTAACAATGTTTTTAAACTCTGATTTTCTAAAACTTGGAAATCTAATCTTTTTCTAAGTGCCTATCAAGCTAGAAATTAAGGGAAATGTGTACTTATTTAAAGAATTTATTTTAAATTTGACTTAAAGGATAAATGAGAATATTTTGACTAAATAAGTTTATAAATCAAAATAAAATGCTAACAATACCATGGATATAAAATACAGTTTACATAACTTAAAACTATTAAATTAATTGGCCAGGTAAGTCCTTACTTGGTAAGGGTTTTATCCTCTTATAGATGCCAAAGTTGATAAGACCATGACGCTCTAAATAACTGTGAACTCGATGGACAAGCACAGTATCACCTATAAGATAAATTAATTTTAAAATGTTTGTATTTGCAACAGTTTAAGCCGAAAACTTTTCTAACTTTTCATCAAGTCTTTCTACACGTGTTCCCATAAGCTTCAGGTAAAATGATTCTTTTTAGTCTGTGAGGTAGCCCAAATGTGTATCACATTATTCGAAATTTTTTAGAATGACATTCCAGTACAGATGATATGGAGGATAAACCTTTGTAAAGTAGCTGTAATACTCACTCATGTTGGCCAAACTTTCTAAGTAAGCCCTTGCTGGTGGTCAAGTAGGAAATAAAGCCAGACAGCTACCAAATCACGTTCCAAAATAAAACACAGATCAAAGCTGCACAACAAAATCTAAGAAAATTTGGAAATCTCTTGAATTCATCTGTCAATACAATTTAAAAACCAGAAAACAAAAACATAAAAAATAGGCTAATTTTTGCACTGCAGAGGGCAAAATTATATATGTATGTACATATGAAAAAATTAATTGCACTCATGAAATTCCTAGAAAAAGTTATCCATTTTTGCAATATGGTCCAAAATCAGTCTTATCAAACATACTACTTACTGTTATAAGGTGCTTCTAATTGTTGGAGAGTAGCCTCAAACGTCAGCTGAATCTTTGGATTATCCAACCACAATTGTAACTATATATAAATAACATAAATCATATTACAAACAAATAGACATATCATTTAACCATCTGTAAAATCATCTTTTCAATGTTAAGACTTCAAATATGAATTTTACTCAGGGAAGGTTATATTCCTTTGTTGGGAATATATTTTTGTATTTCCTGATGAAACAGAAAACTGCACCAGGTAAATGAAGAAGCTAGGGATATTTAACCTAAAAAGGAAATATACCTACTAACTTGTCAAGATCATATGGTTACATGGCTGGGTTACATGCCTCCAGCGATACTGAGTGGATAAAATCCATACACCCTAATGATCAATTAGATATACAGAGGTGAGAGAGAAAGGTATTAAGGGTAATTTCTCACTTTTTTGCTTGTACAACTGAATGGGTCAGTGTGTCATCACTGCATGAGGTCACTGAAAGAAGAAATGAGAAAGTCTACCACTACGGCAACTAAAATAAGTATCTTAGAGGAGGTAATGTCTGGTCACATGCTTATGAGTGAGAACTAAAGTCAAATGTGCAGAAGAGAGCTCCCCCAGTTCACATAATGGCTGGTTGTTAAGGATACACATATATAGCAACTAAAGAAGAGAACAACCAGGAAGGCAGGAACAAAATCAAAATGCAGTGTCAGTGAAGACAAGGGAATGGTATGTTCAAGAAGGGAGCAGTTAAAGTCAGGTGTGGTGGTACACACTTGTAATCCTGGCATTCTGGAAGGCTGACATGGGAGAATTTAAAGTTTGAGCCTAGATTGGGTAACTCAGTGATTTAGCAAGACTCTGCCTCAAAATAAAAAAATAGAGCTGGGGATTTAGCTCAGTGGTTCTGCTGCCTGCCTCACAAGCTCAAGGTCCTGAGTTTGATCCCTGGTACCACAAATAATAAATAAATAAATAATAAAAAAAAGGGGCTTAAGATAGAACTCAATGCAAAGGCCCTGGGTTCAATGCCCAGTACCTAAATAAATAAAGTCAATTATTTCAAATACTGCTGAAAAAAAAAAACAACAACAACAACAA